TCAAGTGTCCAGTCTCTTGCAGAAAGCATATGAAAAAGCAGCAAATATTGAAATCGCAATAAATGGTTTTCGGGCCACAGGAATATCACCTATAAATCGTGACATTTTTCCGGAGCATGCATTTTTGTCTAGTGCAACTACAGATGTGCTTGGTTCTATTAATAAACCTGACATTGCTTCTACATCTTTACCTGCTGATGTTAATGTTCCTCACACTGCAACTTATGATCATCATGATGTCCAAGAACCATCGGCATCTGGTTCTAAAGATGAATCTATTGAAGGAATCCTGATGGAATTGGCACCGGTAACTCAGAGTAATGTAAGAAAATCTACCAAACGTAAATCTAGTCAATACCAAGATGTATTAACCGAGAACCCCTTCCTGAAATATCTCCGCGAAAAAGAAAATAAAAAAAAGCACAAGAAATAAAAAGCAGAAAAGGGGACGTCGTGAAAAGAAAAATAGTCAATGATTTAAGTGATGGAAGACGCATTGTGAACAAAGATAGGCATCAGTCGGAGAGAAAAGGCAAGAGAAATATTGTGACCAGACCAATACTGAACAATATATCAAGTGATGAAGAAGAACCCTTTAGTATTGATGATGATGAACAAGAGGACTGCGCTTGCATTTACTGCAATGATATGTTTAGTAGGTCCAAATCTAATGAAGGATGGTTAAGATGCCAAATTTACCAAAACTGGTCACATTCAGAATCTGCTGGACTTCCCAAAAAAGCAAAACAATTTATTTGCGAACTTTGTATGAACTAAAATGTTTAATTTCGATTTTTTTTCTTCGTAAAAATAAAAATTTATAATTATTTTTGTATTTAACACTATTGTTTATGTGTATGCCATTTTGCCCGCAAAGGGCGGGCAAAATGGTTTTTTGTTACATTTTGATTTTGATTTTTTTTTTAATAAATATCTTTGTATGAGTGATTTTTTGTTACTTAGAATAGTAGAAAAATGACCTGGCTATCATTATACATCAAAAGGAATGATTTATCTCTATTTATGTCTCAGATATATGGAAAATAAACTAAGTATGCCATCTTGCCCGCCCTTCCCCTATCCGCATTTGGTTATTTGTAAAAAAATTGACGTTTGTAAATTCTCTAGTTGTTTTTAGTTTGCAAAAGTATTTATCGCTCAATATTTAGTTTCTGTTTCTGCTTAGTTTAGTCAATTCAAGTTTAGTCAAGTTGTTTTTAGTTAATATTTAGTTTAATTATTATTTAACGAGATATTTAAATCTTTACAAATGCAGAATGGTCCGTACTGTAGCCGACAGAGTAGCAGCTGTGTTACTAATTGGTGAATGTGAAAATAATTTCCATGCAGCCGACCGTCTTTTTAATGAAAGGTACCGTGATCGCCCTACATCGAAAGCTTATTTGAGGAAGCTGCTTTGGAAGTTTAAAGAAACAGGTAGTGTTCAAGATGTCAAACGATATGGTCGACCAACAATTAGTGATAACAAAAAAAAAATTAACATAATTTCAGAAATGGTAATGAAACTTATTTCTTCTAGAGCCTAAGTTGCATCTATCTATGGAATCGGTTAAAAGAAAGTACACCGAGTGTTGGCTAAAAACAAATTGTATTCATACAAATTACAAATTGTGCACTAACTTTCAGATGATGATCTCGGCCGAAGACTAGAATTCTGTGAAAATATGTCCAATGAAATTAACCAACAGCCTGTTTACATAAAAACAATTTGTTTTAGTGACGAAAGTACTTTTTCTCTTAATGGAAATGTTAACACACACAGTGTAAGGTATTGGAGTAATACAAATCCTCACGTCTTTCGTGAAACACATACTCAATTTCCAAAAAAAATGTTTGGGCAGGTATTTTGGGAAACCACATAGTTGGGCCTATTTTTCTCAATACTAACTTAACTGGTGAAGCGTATTTGGAGATGTTACAAAATGTAATTGAACCGTTAATACTTAAAATTCTGGAGGATAATCCAGATAAATTTGGCAACAAGGAAATAACGTTTCAACAAGATGGTGCCTCTGCACACCATTATGGTGCTGTAAGACGTTACCTAGATGAGCAATATCTTGGTAGATGGATTGGACGACGAGGTACGATAGAATTGCCAGCTCAGTCACCGGACCTCACTTCATCGGATTTTTTTTCGTGGTGATACTTAAAATACAAAATTTACGTTACAGCACCCGACAATATTGACATTTTGAAACAACGAATTGTTGAAGAATGCAGGGCAATTTTATAATACAAATTTGAACGAGTACGGCAAGAGTTTAGAAATATAATGGTTACTGTCAGGAAGAAGATGGAGTATATTTTAAACACTTACTATAAGAACTGATTGTTAAATATGTATTAATTAATATGAGAAGCTACAGTTTGAGTATTTATTTAAATTATTCATCAAAATGAGCTTAAAATAAAAGAAAAGTATTATGACTAAATAGGTTTTTTCAATACATTTCAAACGAGGTATCACTGCCATGGTCCCATTTAAAATTATCTGTCACAGTGGCGCTGTAACGTCATCTGTCACTATTGCGTCACCTGTTATGACTAGTTGAGAAGCCTACGTCTGTTTATTGCCTCCCTCCAAATTTCACCATTATAACAATAGGTAACAGTTCAAAAGATACAAGTGGGGAAACTGACTTTTGACTATCATTATAGAGTACCTACATAAGAGAAATATCAGTGGACCTCTAAAAAGATCGCTAGACGATATGAAAGAAAAAGCAGGACTCTAAATTGCAATGATAAATCGACGCGGTTCAACCCGGAAGACTGTTGAGTTTATAATAATTATTTAATAGTATTAATCTTGGCCTACTTTAATTGTATTAACCGCGGAAATGTGTGTGTGATTATTTGCTTTTAAGTGAATATCCATTCGCCATGTTTCTGGCGAATTGACTGCTTCTTATGGTGCCTATCCGTTACGGATGTTAAACACTAGCATGGCTATTCTGACTTTTTTGACTGCCACCCTGAAAAGTCCGGTAGTGGTTATGTTAAACCATTTTCGCAGGTTATGCAGCCAGGATATTCTTCTTTCGAATTGGCTATTGATTTTAATTTTTAATAAATTAAAATATTTTTGTTTTAGACTGCCAGATATACCCAGAACAATTCCAGATATCTCAAACGGGATAACAAACCAGGTGAGCATTTACTTTAATATGCATTCTAATAATGAACTTATTATCTTTTAAAATGTATCTTAAATAAAAAAGTAGAACGAAACTTCTTGTAGAAGGAATGTTTATGGAATCATATTGTTACGTTCTTCTCTGGGTTCGGGAATTACTTGAAATTTTATTTAACTCAATTAACTACAAAAAAACTCCAAATACCAAATATCTCATTAACAATTACAAATACGCTAATTACTTTCGCCTACAATAATATGTGCATGGCTTACAAACACAATTGTCTCACTAATGTCTATTCAAAGGAGCTGAACAGTTTATATAGATCAGGGGTGGCCAACCTTTTTAAGTCGAGTGCCAATATGAGAACAAAAAAAATTTGGCGTGAAACTAAAATTTTTCGACATACTAATATGGATACTATACAGGGTGTCCCAGACTAATTTACCCCCGCTATATCTCTTAAACGAATAGAGATTTTCGAATGGGACAAAAAGTGGTCTATTCTATTTGTAATACACTTTAATATGGCGTAGAAAAAAATCATCCCCTAAATATTCATCCCTTAGTTACAACCCCTAACTTTAATTTTGTTAATAGCACCCTGTATATTTTTTTATAGTTTTGGATGTAGTCTTCTATCGTCTATTCAACAGATTTATTAAAAATAAAATCGGTTTGTAAATAATCAAGAAATCAATTAATTTTTTATTTTTGTTAATTAAGCGTCCCAGACTAATTTATCCAGGCTATATTTATTAACAAAATGGAGATTTTTTAAACGGTCAAAAACTGGTCTATTCTATTTGTAATATACTTTAATATAGCGAAGAAAAAATCATCCCCTATTTTTATAACAACTGGCCAAATAGCAAATATTTGGCCAGTTATTTTTTTTGCACTTGGCTTGCTTGTCCTTTTGATTTTATTTTTTTAATATTTATATTTTTGGGTAAACTTTGCTGCCCCCAAGCCAGCGCCGCCCGGGTGCCACGCACCCCTTGAACCCCGATTCGGCGCGGCCCTGGTCGCTACCGTCCTTTGACAGACGGGTCAAGACGGGAGTGTTTATAGATACATATGACTAAATGACACGTTATACATTGCACGTCATCCGCGTCATAGTCCATGAGGTCACATGATACCAACACGAAATATTTAGGCGGCAGGTGTGTTCTTTTTTAGAATCACTTTGTCGAGTACACTGGCATTATAACCACTTTACATATTTTATTATATACGCTTAGAAATAATGTTTAAAGATTTCTATTAATGTTAACTCAAAGAAATACACAATAATATGTTTTATTTAATTTGTATAAATGCATTATAAAGCGTTTTTATGAAGAACATTTGTTGGGAACACACTGTAACTGTAATCGAACGAAGGTGATATTTTGGCATAAATTGGTAACACTTATTTGACAGTTGCGGTGTTGACACCTTTTGTACTTTATTGCAACGGTAAGTAAATTAGATGAAGAATAGAATACAAGCCAGTAAAATGAATTATATGAAAGAGTAAAAAGCATTATAATCTTAATATAGACAAATAAATGAAGTAGTAATATACTCAATATGTATTCGATTATTGAGAAAATAATCAAATTTAAGAAGTACCTATATGATGACCCTTGAAAAGATGGATCCAATTTTAATACCGGAACATACAAAAAACGCCTCACTCATGAAATAAAAGAGACGAAGTCATTTGAAACTGATATGTTCCTTTTAAGTTCATGGATTATGCCGTTCTTAGTTTTAGCATGTCTTATATACATTTTAGATTTTTTCTCTCTTTGACTCATTTTTGTTATAAATTTTTGTTATAAATTTTAGAGCCAGCCAATAGGCATTTTTGACAGAAAAAAATGTTTTCCAAATACTTCACCGCTACCTATTCCATTTACAAGTACACCGCCACAACAATCTGTTCAAATTACAAGTGTATCACCACCAGAACTGGATCAATCAAATCAGGTAACTGCTTACGTTTTTGGTAAACCGTGTATTATCACTGACTTTAATTTAATATTTTTATTTTTTATTTATACTATTTATATGATTTCCAGTGAAAGTCAAAATAAACATTTGAAATTAAAATTATAGCTAAGTTCCAATAAAAATAGTAAATTGTTACGTGGAAATTAAGGGTTGCATAAGAAACTAATTACTCGTGTGATAATTCATCAAAGCCGTCGCAGAGCTCTTGCTGAAATTTGTCATTCTTTAACACATTTCGTAAAATTCAAAAAGATAGAAAACGACAGTCGTTTTCGTTTAAGGCTACCAAAATATTTGGTGCTTTTACTACCAAAATATGGTAGTGCAAACACTGGAGAAATGTGTACATAGTCGTTCTTGATTTCTCCCCACAATTATCTAATATTCGCTTTTCTGTGCCACTTTGTACTGGCTTGTTTCCTTATGTCATCTTAAATTCTCCCTTTAATTCAATATATAACACCGGAGTGATTCCCGCAGATTGCCTCAAATCTATCTTTATCGCAATACCTAAAAACATAATGCGAGAAAATGCTCAAGATATCGATTAATTAGCCTAATGAGCCACACTCTCAAAATTTTCCTCAGAATACTTCACAACAGAATTAGACGCGAAGAAGACGTTGAAGATACCCAATTTGGTTTTAGAAATGCTATGGGAACCAGGGAGGCACTTTTTGCGCTTAACATCCTATTACAAAAATGCCGTGACCAAAGAAAAGATGTATTTGCATGTTTCGTGGACTTCGAAAAGGCATTCGCTAAAGTACAGCATATAAAATTAATGCAAATACTGTAAAATATCGGAATAGATGACAAGGATATTCTTAAAAATTTGTACTTTAATCAAACTGCTATCGTAAAAATTGGAGATAACTACACCGGTGAAATCCCCATACAACGCGGAGTCAGACAAGGTTGCATTTTATCGCCAACATTGTTCAATGTTTACTCGGACCAGTTATTTAAAAAAGCACTTGAGAGACAAACATATGGAATAAAAATCAACGGGGAACTACTTAATGTGATTAGTTATGCAGACGATACAGTAACTCTATCCGATAATATTGAAGGTCTTCAAATTCTGCTTGATCGTATTCACGAGGTAGGAGAGGAAATGGGCGTTAAAATAAACTCAAACAAAACTAGTCATAGCAATGACTAAAATTACTTTTATAAAAAGGAAGTCATTTCTTTGCAATCACCATCTCAGTTTGGAGCTAAGGCAAGGAATGGTTAAGTGCTATGTTAGGTCCGTACGTTTGTATAGTGCAGAAATGTGGACGCTAAAAGTATCGATCATGAACAAAATTGAAGCATTGAAAATGTGGGTTCATAGACGAGTGCTGAAGATACCTTCGACAGCAAGAAAAACTATTGAAGAAGTACTAAGGAGCATCAACAAAGATAGAGAACTACTAAAGACTGTTAAACATCGAAAAATGTCATATCTGGGACATATAGTAAGGGGAAGTTGATATAAAATATTACAACTAATCCTTAAAGGCAAAATAAAGGGCCGTAGAGGTGAAGGACGAAAACAAGTTTCTTGGTTAAAAAACATTCGTGAATGGACTCAGATACCAAATGCAGGACAATTATTCCATATTGGGAATAAGATAGGGTTGTTTTGATTCGAAGACACTCTAGCAAAGTATGTAGTTTTTATTTTAAATTTCACAATTCACTATACGTCGAAAATAAGTCGATTTCACTTCCAGCATAAATAAAATCTGTGAAATGAAAATCTATATGAATAAAATTCCGTTCTTTAATTTTTTTAACATGTACAAATAACAATTTTTGCCATTCGTCCTTTTCTCTGTCATTTAAACTTTATGCATATGTGTGAATCATAACAATATTTATATACAGGTATATACTTATTAAATAATATCCAATTTCAAACTCAACTTACACCTAATCTTTGAATGTGTATTATGTTTATCTTTATTATTAAAATTATCAATCCCATTTATAAAATGTTTTTCTGAAGATAGCATACCTAAAGCACTAAGTCATCCTTCCTTCATGGTATCTCTAAGGAATGTTTTAATTCGTTTTAGCATCGAAAAACAACGTTCTTCTTCAGATGTTGACATAGGAATGGTAATTAATATACTTAAAAGTTTAATAGTTTCTTTAAAAGAACATTTTAAACCTTCATCATTTAATAAAACTGATAGCGGAGCAGCCTTAGAGGTAGTACTTAATTTTTCTCGCTGATACAGTACTTGGTACTTCAGTTTTAAACTGAGTTTTGTTTAAAAATAAAAATTGTCTGCATGTTTCATTAAGAAATTGTAACATTTTTTTTTATTATTAATGTATTAAATATTTCTAATTCCTTTTACCCCCGTGCGATACGCCTATGATCGTGTATCGATAGCAAAATATTGTAGATACCCAACTAAAATGGAATTCCCTAATTAGGAATGGTTTTTAATCCTTTCGTCATAATATTTATTATGAAAAGAGTATAATGCGTTTTGGTATGCAGTTTCCTTTTCATAAATTTGTAATTTTCGTCGAAGGCCCGTTTCTTTTGACAAAAACTTAATCCCAAGTATTGTCTGTTTCTTATGTCCAATTGTTAATACCGATTATTTTACCTCAAATTTTCCAATAGTCGTCAAGGCCTTACCTTCTGAGAAACACATACAACTGTCCTATCATTCTTAAGTGGGGGATATAGCTTCTTCTTCTTTTTACTAGGATAGTTGGTGAAAATTTTAGTGGAACCAATTTACTTCTCGGTGGGCTCTTGTTGAGTGAGGTAATCTCTCGTGTTACTTGTTGGTAGGCCGTTGTTGAGTTAAGGCCAATATCTCGTGTTACGCTTTGCTCACTTTATTTCTTATCGTATCGTCTTTGTGAATTATTTTCTAAGTGTGTATACACTTTATATTTGAGTTTTCTTTCCTTAGACTATATTAAATTACATATAGTTATACACTACCTTTAATGGTTATTAAATTCATTGTTTAGTACCAGAAAAGTATTAAATTCAGCGAATTAAGCTGCCTTCGTCAAGATCTACTGTAAGTAATTTTATCTACAATTATCTGGGCGAGTAATATGGTATGGTACCATATCACCTGCCATTATTGGACGTATCATCGATATCTTCACCTGTAGATTGCCGATTTTTGAATGTAATTGGACCATTCAAGAAATTTCTATAAATATTACCTATGAACATACAAGTCTCAGTTTTTTATTAAATAATAGTGCGAGATAGTTAATTGACTTAACCAAGTGCGGTTTGGTTTATGTTTTCATTCCTGTAACCTTTTTGTTTTTTTTTTTGTAAATTTAGAGTTAGGTAATTATTGCTATCTTTTGTATTTCCTATAATTTTTGTTCATTATCTTTCCTATGATATCTCGAGATACGCCAAACTATATTTGAATATGATTGCCTTATAATATCTTGGTAAAGGTATTTTTTTATTATAATATTGCTTAATTTTATACATATAACACCATTTCATAGTTGTGTATTTTTATTACTTGTGTTGCATTTAGCAGCATCATAATTTTATGTTTAATATATTGTTATTGTTTTATGCATGTATTTTATTTGTCGGCTCCTAAAAAGTTCCCTGATAAAATAATAGCTCTGAACAATTACTATCTTTAAATATTACTATGCTTTTGAACTGTAGAAAGATCAGGCTGATTAAGTTTCGTAGGTAAGTAAGTGTAATACTTAATATATCTATTATTTGTTTATATATTGCGTTGACCAGATTTATTTGATAATTTACTGTTGGTATCTTTCCTTGGGTTTGATCTCTGAACCTAAATATCTTTTCTTATCTCTTTTCTTTTCTAAGGTTTTCTTAATTTTCTCCTTAACCCCAAAAAATTGAGTGGCGCCCTGTTTCTATCTTTTCTCTTATCTTTGGTAATTTTACCCATCTATCTTTTTGTTTATTTCTGTATCTTTTCTAATATCTCTTATCCTATCTTTACCTATTTCTTCCGTTGGATCCATTCCCGGTTCCAAAAGCTAGTTTCGAACCCACGATGCGCTCTCCACCAACTATCTGGCTGCCGTCCGCAGTGTCTCCATTGGTTATCTTTCTAGCGCCACCCAAAAAAGATTTCCGAGGTTACAAAATGATTCGGGGAAGTGATGCTGATAAGCAGAGAACTTCTCCAACATAAATAAATTAGAAGCAACTAAAGGTCCGGAAAAGGTAAATCTTGTTTTCATTTGTAACTAAACAATTGTAACCTCGGAAACCTTTTTTGGATGGTGCTAGAAAGGTCACCAATGGAGACACTGCGGACGGCAGCCAGATAGTTGGTGGAGAGCGCATCGTGGGTTCGAAACTAGCTTTTGGAACCGGGAATGGATCCAACGGAAGAAATAGGTAAAGATAGGATAAGAGATATTAGAAAAGATACAGAAATAAACAAAAAGATAGATGGGTAAAATTACCAAAGATAAGAGAAAAGATAGAAACAGGGTGCCACTCAATTTTTTGGGGTTAAGGAGAGAAAAAGAGATAAGGAAAGATATTTAGGTTCAGAGATCAAACTCAAGGAAAGATACCAACAGTTAATTATCAAATAAATTTGGTCAACACAATATATAAACAAATAATAAATATATTACTTACCTACGAAACTTAATCAGCCTGATCTTTCTACTGGTCAAAAGTATAGTAATATTTAAAGATAAAAAGCAAATATTTAGAGTTACTATTTTATCAGGGAACTTGTTAGGAGCCGACAATTAAAATACATACATAAAACAATAACAATATATTCAACAACAAAATTATGACGCTGCTGAATGTGACACAAGCAATAAAAGCACACCAACAACTATAAAATGGTGGTATACATATAAAAATAAGGAGTAATATAATTGGAAAATACCTTTATAGAGATATATAAGACAATCATATACAAATAAAGTGTTATGGGCGTACCTCGAGATATTACAAAAAAAATTAATAAAAA